TGATGACTAAGGGGGGGGTGGATATCATGGCGTGGGCCATGATATTTTCCTAGATTTCATGGCGCCTCTTCATATTTCATGACGTCCCTGGCCCGCCCGCTGGGCCGCGCACATGCCGCTGGTCATGGTTTGCACCCCCCCCTCTTGGACGCCCCCCTCTTGGCCGCCCCCGATGAAAGTTGGCCAAGGCCTGCGCGTCCCCGAGGGACGAGGGGAGGGGCCAAGGGAGGAGGAGGGGTCATCGAGGACCGATCGCCACGAAGGCAGCGGGTCCTGAAGGCAGGGGTTCCGGATGGCTGCCGCCGCTCTCGGGCCCTCGGGGCCATCCGCGGGCCCCCGGACCGTCAGAGAGCGACTCAGGACGACCCCGTCCCGGGGGGAAGGCCTTCTGGGTCCAGGACCCGTCTCCCTCGGGACCCGCTTCCCCCATGCTAAATGCCGAGGATGGAGGTCACTTGGACCTGCTTCGCCCTCTTTGGGCCTCCTGGGGCGATCTCGTGCACATCGCCGGTGAGGCCGACGCCGCCAGGCGAGCGACTGAAGGAACATCGCGGCTGGCTGCGCGGACCTTGGCGCGCAGAAGGTTCCCGCGCAGTGTCATGCGCGCAGCAGGCGTCCGCTTCTCCGCGCGGCGTTCCGCGCTGGCGGCCCGCGTAAGCCGCGGCCTCAGGTTGTCTGTGTCTTGTCGCGTGCGCCGTCCCCCGGAGCGGCTCGCTCCCGCCGCCTCCCCTTTCGGCCGCGGCCTCGGCGGTTCCCCTCCCTCCTGCGTGGTGGCACACTTGGCTTCAACGGCATCCCCGTTTATCGGGGGCGGAAAAGAGGGGGGTGATGACTAGGGGGGGGTGGATATCATGGCGGGGGCCATGATATTTCCCCAGATTTCATGGCGCCTCTTCTTATTCCATTACGTCCCTGGCCCCCCCGCTGGGCCGCGCACATGCCGCCGGTCATGATTTGCACCCCCTCCTCTTGGACACCCCCCTCTTTGCCGCCCCCGAGTTGAGGCTGTTCCGCTAGCGCAGACGACCCCTGCCTCGCCGCCGACGCAACAAAAGCGTCTCGTCGCGTAAGGTCGGCGCCGCCCCAACGTACGGACACCGCGTGCGCTTCGGCCCCGAGGGTGCGGCGCGCGCGCCGAGAGATCTTCTGGTACACGCGCCGCGGCGGGCAATTGCAAGACGCGTGCACTATATGTTCGGGTGGGGCGCACGCAACCCGCATAGCAAAGATGGGCAATTTTCCCAAGGATACCCTTGCATCCTTGCCCCTTCGGCCCATCCTTAGCGACTTTCGCCGGACAACCTGGTTCGAAAGACGCTTACATGGCCCTACAAGGCCCTTGCATCCTTACCGCGCACCCTTATCCCTTATGGTGCGGGTTGACTACATGTCCTCTTGCGTCCAATGAGACTCGCTGCTTGCCGCTCAGATGGAGCCCGCAGCGACGAGAGAGACGAGAGACGCCGGCGGCGGCGGCGGCGGCGACCGCCGCCGGCAGGTGGAAGCCGCGGCCCAGGCGGCCCTCCTCGTCGACTGCGACGGCACCCTGGTGGCCGCCCCCCCACTTCAGGGCGACGCTAGCGGAGTAGATGGGCTCAGGGGTGGACGTTTCGAGGTTGGAGTTGTTTCGTTTCGTTTTCGTTTGGTCGCGGCGATTTTCCAGCCTCGGGGTGCTCTCCAGCAGCTGCGCTTCGACGAGAGCTTTCCAGGTTCTAACCCTAATCCTACCTTTACCTTGGACGAGTGTAAGGAAAGGTGCATCGGCTTCGAATGCAGGGAGCAGTGCTCCACAACTGCCACAGCGCTTCTCAGCCACGTCTCTTCATGCACATCTGCTGGGACCCAGGGGTGTTCCCGGGGTTCAGCTGGGTATGTCTATAGGTCCCGTTGGTATGCCTTCAAGACTCTGCCGAATTCATGATGGATTCCCTTGGATTCCTACCTATCTGGACTCACTTTGGAATCCGCCTTCACATTCCTCTGAAATTCATGTCCGATTCCTTCGAGGTTCATTTGAGCTTCCTGTGCGTGCTGGGTCACCACGGTGACCACCGGGGCCAGTGAATAGGTTGTTGTTTAACAAGTGCGTTGAGATATTGGGGGGGGGTAGTGGCACGCGTATGCGATATCTTTAATTCTCTTTGGACCACTTGGGAAATTCAATTCTTGCATTGGGCTCGGAGGTAGCTGGGGCGGCGGATCGTGCCGCACCGCCGATGCATCGGCGACAGGGCTCGAGTCGGGCATCGCCGAATCACCGTCCATGCATCGCCGGCCCTCATGCGGGCCCGTAATGCTGCATTTGAGTGGCGCAAGAAATCGGGGTCGTCTTCGCCGACATTGGCGCGTCAGTTGCCCGCGTAAGGTCGCGCGTACGCGCCCTCGCTTCCAGCGTAGCGTGCCGCGCTGGCGGCCCGCGTGGGCCACCGCGCAAGGTCGCTGCGTCATCTCGCGTAAGACCCGATTTTGATCGTCGCCCACTTGGCCTCAACCCGCCATGCCACCAAGGGCACACATGGGGCAGGCAGAGCCCCCAGACAGGGCTCGTTTCGACACCTCCGATTCGATTCGATTCGATTTCGATGGCTTCCGGTTCCGATTCGATTCGACTTGGGATTCCGATTTGGGTTCCGATTTCTTATTGACGGCCTACTAGCCTGCCGATTTCCGCCGATTCGATTTTTGTCCGACTCGGCTGCCAATTTCCGCCGATCCGATTCATGTCGATCGCCGATCCGACATATCGATTCGATTCTGCGCTCTCCTGCCCAGAGGGCCACCAGAGACACGCCACGGGCCCAGGCCCGTGGCGCCCACGGCGAACACACGTCGGCGGCATCGCCCCCGATGGCAGCGCCGTGGCCGCCGTGGCCTTGGCATCGCTCGGACGTGTGCACTTTTCCTTCGTCGAGGACCATCGAGGAGCATCCTTGATCAGTTGGCGAAAAAACCACGCACGAAACCGAACAAAATCACAGGGAATGGACGTCCGAGCGATGGCCAGTGGCTGCCGCGCCTGCAGCCCGCAGGCGGAGACCGAGCGCGACGGCCACCGTGTCGCCTTCAACCGGGCCTTCGAGGAGGGGCCGCGGCCCGCGGCGTGCCGACCGGAGAAAGGGCAGCGCAGCGGCGCGCGGCTCGGCGACCTCTGCAGGGGGCGTGGCCATTGCGGATCGGTCACCGCCCGCCAAGCCGCCCCAAGCCAAACCGAAGGCCCCGATGTGCCCTCCAGTTCCAGTGTGAATGGGGTGTCGGGCAGCATTGGAAAAAAACACGTGCGGAACCTGTATCCTCCCCCCACCACCCCGAATCCGGGTCTTCGGGCTAGGTTGGGGTGGCCTGGTGGGTAGGTAGTCGGAGGGGGCCACGGGGGAGCGGGGAAGGCTTCCCAGAATCGAAGACGAAAAGCCGGCATAGACAGAAGCTTTCGGCGCTCCGCGCGGATTTCTTGGATCTGCGCTGGGCCCCCCTGGTGGCGCCTCCGGCACCGCCCCTGGCGCGCTCCGAGCGCAGGGGGGTCCAGTCCAGATCCAAGAAATCTGCGAGGACCACCAAAAGTTTATGTTTATGCAGTTGTTTCTTCCTCTCTAGAAGCACCTCTGCTTCTTAGAACGCGCGGGCCTTGTCTGTAGATGGACGGGCCAGGGTCTGCTACGAAGCAGCCTCCTGCTCAGAAGCCTTCCCCCCTCCCCCATAGTTACCCCCCTGTGCGCACCGCCAGCCGAGGCGACGACACAGGCCCAGACATCAGCGTGTCGAAAATGTCGAGACGGAGGTTTTTCGGGACCGTCACGAAAACGGCTCGGAATGAAGCACGGGTCCCAGGGAAGTGGTCGAGAAGCCTCGGGCGGGTGGTAATGGAGGGTGACCCCACTGGGGGTGAAGGAACGGACCCGAAAGGGACACCCCAGGGCCCGTTTCTGGACCCAAAAGAGGGCCCCGAAGTGCCCCTTTCTGGGGCCCTCCTCTTCACCCCCCCCTTGGGGCCACGCCGCAGTACCGCCCGCCCGAACGTCGGGGGCCCGTGTCTGGAGCAAAAACCTCGGGGGGGGGGGGGGACAGCCACGCCAGAGTGTGGTCTGCGCGCTGCGTCGCTGGGGCGCTTCGGGGGGGGGGGGGGGGGGGCACCGCGCCGCCCTCGCCGGGGCGCGGCGGAACACGCTTGCCAGGCCACACCCCTCCGGGATCGCCGAGCTGGGAGGGCCTGCCCGACCCGCCACTGGGAGAACAGCGTCTGGGGCCGATGCCAAGGTGCCGTGCGCACGTCCAGGCCACAGGCGTCTGCAGTGGAGGCCCATGCCAAGGAGCACCCTGTGCTTGCCTCCATTGGTGCCCTGGGTGTCGATGGCCTTGGCGTGGGACGCGTGACGCTCCCACACAGAAAGCCAGTGGATGTTCTGGGGTCTCAGGGTTGGTGTTCTTGCGGAAGGTTTCTTGTGGACTGGCCTCCATTGTATGGGCACGCTGGGTGCCGTGACGTCCATAGGCACTTTCGGGGTGTATGCGTCTGTGGACAACGTGGCCGTTGCGTTCGGCGCGGTGCAAGGTCGGAGAGAGGGTAGATCCGTCTACGGTATGTTCCTGCTCTAGAGCAGGTCCCACGTGGTACTCCAACGCCGAGCATTGTGGCCATGATAAGTTCTGGCTGAAGTGAGTGGGGGCTCATCAGGCTCAGGGGCGGATTGCGATGTTCAAGGTTCCATGGTTTCGTGCGTCTTCGTCTGCTCTCTGCGGTTCTCCAAGTTTTGGGGTGTTCTTCTGCAGATGCGCCTCGCCGAGATGCTTCCGGGGATGCCTGGATCATCCCGAACGCCCTTCGAGGGCCCGAGTTGCGGCCCGAAGGCCAGGGGGGGACTGGCTCAGGAGAGGCACATCGACCCCCAACCAGTCATCGCCGAGGGAGGCCCGGTAGCCCACCCTGCCCCAGGAGCGTGCGCTTTGGCTATCGGGGCCCATCGCCGATCTTTCGGCCACGTGTGGCCGTTTCCAGGTCAACGTTTCCCCCTTCACAAGTACCAACGATCGGTGCCCCCCCAGAGGCAGGCGGGGCGGTGGATCGAGCCGAGTCGCCGATGCATCTGCGGCAGGGCTCGATTCCGAGCCCGAGTTTCTCCATCCCGACGTCGCCGCTGTGTGAGCTGGTCCGCGAACCCCTCCTTCCATCCGACGCGGCATCCGCCACAGCGTCCCGGAACGCTCCTCGGGGGCGGCCAATAGGGGGGTGATGATTAGGGAGGGGTGGATATCATCGCGTGGGCCACGATATCACCCCAGATTTCATGGCGCCTCGTCTTATTCCAATCCGTCCCTGGCCCCCCCCTGGGCCGCGCACATGCCGCCGGCCATGATTGCACCCCCCCTCTTGGACGCACCCCTCTTGGCCGCCCCCGACCCAGAGCATCCCAGAGCGCTCTGGGATGGCGGCGTTGCTCGATGCATCCTGCAGAACCGCCAGATCTCAGAGATCCGCACGAGCGATGAACATACCCGCATCCGCGCGCATTCGGCGTGGAGTCCTGGGCGCAGGGTCGCGGCCCTGGGACCAGGCCCGCGAGGCCGCGGATACGGACATGTCTCTCGCCCGCGGGATCCCCGATCCATCCCAGTCCGAGTTTTCCGCGCGGCCGCGGACACGGATAGCTTTCTCGCCCGCGGGTCCCCGCTCTATCCGGATCCGGGCCTTGGTTTCGTGGTAATCCGCAGGAGAAGGGCTACGGCTGCACGTGGGACGTGGACCTCTACGGGGAGCTGCTCACCACCGGCGGCGGGAAGGAGCGCCCGCGGAACGTCGGCGTGGTGCGCGCAGCGTCGACGTGCGCGCACATGTTCGTCGTCAGGGGAGGTCCGAGGTGTCTCTGCAGCGAGGAGGCAGAGAGTTGGAGGAGGAGGAGGAGGAGGAGGAGGAGGAGGAGGCGGAGGAGGAGGAGGAGGAGGAGGAGGAGGAGCGTATGTTCGTCGTTATTGGAGCTCCTGGGTGTTTGAGGATGCAGAGGAGGGGGAGGGGGAGGAGGAGGAGGAGGAGGAGGAGGAGGAGGAGGAGGAGGAGCAGGAGCAGGAGCAGGAGCAGGAGCAGGAGCAGGAGCAGGAGCAGGAGCAGGAGCAGGAGCAGGAGGAGGAGGAGGACCAGAGTTAACCCAAGACTCATCAGGGATACTGCAACACACCCTTCCTCCAAGGCTCCAAGGCTCCTGCACGGATCCATTTTCATTGATGGGACTGCCCCGTTGAAAGACAACCGTTTGAAAATCCAGAATTGTGCAAGAACGCCATCCCTGGGACTTCAACGCCGCGAGTCACCGCTACTGTTGCGTATTGACGACCCAGAATCTCGCCAAGAACACCATTCCCAGGACAGCACTACCGCGAATCAACATGACTGCCGGTCCCTGACACTCTGACACCATGCCAAACCATAAATTCTGGGACGCTCAGCATAAGACATTTTGAAACCCTTGCAAGCTCTCAAGACAAATGTGCGCGGCTCTATGGCTAGAGCCACATATTGAGCAGGAGTTGCCCTCCATCTTTGTGAAACTGTTTCATGGTTTCACACGAATGTGCGCGGCGCGAAGGCGAGAGCCGCACTTCGAAAGCGGGCCGCCATCCATTTGTGAAGCCCTTGCAATGTTTTAAGACGAGTGTGCGCGGGGCTACGGCGAGCGCCACAGTTTGAAAGTGGGCTGCCCTCCATCCGTGAAGCTCTTGTAATTCTCAAGCTTCGCGATCATAAATGAGGAAGTCTCATGCGAAACGCCTGGCCCGCCCTTCTGACAGGCCTCGGGGTGCGCCGGGGGGGAGTTTTACAGACTGAAATGGAATGAAGGAAGAGGAGGAGGAGGAGGACGAGGAGGAGATGCAGAAAGGAGGAGCAGGACGTGCAGAGAGGATACATCCATTTACATGTGCTTCTTGTTGCAACTGAGGCAGATCGGAGACAGAGAGGAGGAGGAGGAGGAGGAGGAGGAGGAGGAGGAGGAGGAGGACCAGGAGGCAGGGAGAAGGAGGAGGCTGAGAAGAGGTAGAGAGAAGGCAGAGAGAGGAGGGAAAGTGGAGACAGAGAGGAGGAGGGAGAGGAGGAGGAGGAGGAGGAGGAGGAGGAGGAGGAGGAGGAGGAGGAGGAGAAGGAGGAAGAGGAGGAAGAGGAAGAGGAGGAGGGAAAGGGGGAGAGGGAGGGGGAGGAGGAAGGGATGTGCGGTTGCGGGCGTAGCGGCCCCGCAGGTCGGCCCCCCACAAGGGGTAGAGCAAACATGGGGGACGCCCCTCGCGTAGGATGAGGGCGGGCACTGTGCGGTTAGTAAGGGGGTGAGGGCACGTAAGGGGGGCAGGGGAAGTGAGGGCTAGGTGAGGGAGGCGGCTTCAGGCCTGCCTGCCCTCTGGGAAGCACTCTACAGAAGCCTGCAGGCGGGGGCGGGCCCCTCCTCCTGAGGCGCCCTCCGCCCTCTGCGAAGGCTACCCCCCCCTCGACCCGCCCCTCTCACTGCGCAGCGCCAGGGAGCACGGCCAGACACGAGGGTGACCACTCAGTGTTTCGTCCAGGCGGCTCTTGCATCCTCGAATCGCCCTGCTCCTCCTCCTCGTCCTCCTCCTCCTCCTCGTCTTGCCCACCCCTCCTTGACCGCGTGGTGCCGCTCTGTTTGCCGCATCCTCACCCGGAAGCTCGCCTGCGTCGGATCGCAGGGACCCTCTGAGGGTCGCCCTCCACGGAGGCAGGCACGCGCCCTCTGCTTCCCTGCAGCCTCGCTGACGTGTTGCCCGGCCGCCGAGCAGTGGCGCCACGTGTCGGGGGCGGAAAAGAGGGGGGTGATGACTAGGGGGGGTGGATATCATGGCGGGGGCCATGATATTTCCCCAGATTTTATGGCGCCTCTTCTTGTTTCATTACGTCCGTGGCCCCCCCGCTGGGCCGCGCACATGCCGCCGGTCATGATTTGCACCCCCCCTCTTGGACACTCCCCTCTTGGCCGCTCCCGAAGTACATCCCCTGCCCGCATCCTGACCTTGGGCCTCGCAGTCCGGTGCTCGATCCCCGGGCCCTCGACGAGGGGCTGTCGCCGCCGCCGCTGCCTCCCGCCGCCTCTAGGGCGCGCGCCTCCCCCGCTCCCCCCCCCTCGGAGGAGCGCATGGCGCGGTACTTCGCCGACTACAACCCGGAGGCCTGGCCGCACCCGGACCCTCCGGCCAAGGACCGCCGCCGCGTGGGGGGCGGCCGCCGTTCAGCAGAGGGTGTCCTGGAGGTTGTTGGCTTCTCCTTCCCCCGCCCCCTTCATGCCTTCTTCAGTCCTCCTGCATTCCTGCGTGGAGGGAGCGACAGCTGAGGCCCACGCTCGGAGCAGGACTGGGAGGCGGGAGCAGGAAGACCAGATCGAGCACATACTGTGCAGCGGAGACGTCGAGAAGACTCCAGAGCACCGCAGACGGCCCGAGCCTCCAACGCCTCCGAGAATCTGCCCTCCCTCCGTCCAACCGTTGCACGAGGTAGCGGGGGAGTGACTTGGCATCGCTCGGACGTGTGCACTTCTCCTTCGGCGAGGGCCATCGAGGAGCATCCTTGATCATTTGGCGAAAAGACCACGCACGAAACCGAAAAAAAAAAACAGGAAGTAGACGTCCGAGCGATGGCCAGGTGAAGGGTGGCCCCGGGGGATCGCGGGCGGGCACACGGAAGAGCCCGGTCAGAGCCGGCCGTGGCGGCGAGGGAGCCCGGAGGCACACGGAAGAGCCCGCCTGCCCCCTTTTGCGCGGGCAGGGCCGTGGAAGGTAGCTCTCGGCAGTCCTGCAGGTTCGCAGAGCGGGCTGGAGACACGGCAGAGCACCACGGGGAGGCCCCTGCCCTCTTCCCTCGGGAGCTTTGAGACGGGGGTCAATGCAGACGGGGGTCAGCCAGGGCGCCGGGTCCTGTAGGATCCTGCGGAGGCCCCCTCTGGCTGACCTGGATCAGCGAGCCGCTCGTGGCCGCGAGGCGGCCGCACCTAGTGGCTGACCCAGGTTTGCGAAGACCTGCATTGCAGTTTTTTCTTCCTGCATTGAAGGTTTTTGGTTTCCTGCTGACCCGGGTCTGGATTGACCCTGTTCAGAAGATCCCCGACCGCCTGTCCCCTTTGCGCGGACAGGGCCGTGGAAGGTAGCTCTCGGCAGTCCTGCAGGTTCGCAGAGGGGGCTGGGGGATACGGCAGAGCACCACGGGGAGGCCCCTGCCATCTTCCCCTTCCTCGTCCTCCCCCTCTATAGCCGTAAAGGAGACACCGGAGGGTAAGGATTGGGGTGAGGACCGGGTGGCAGGGGCAGGAAAGGTGTGCACGGCGACAGCCAGCGTCTCTCTTACAGCCGTTTGCAGCAGCATAGAGGTGACGCTTCCCTCCTTTTCTGTTTCCTCCTCCTGCTTCTTCTCCTCCCCCCCATTGGTCTTGGCATCTCTTATGGACGAATTCGCATCGCTCCACTTTCCAATCCTGATTCCCGCGCTGAACCGAGTCACGAGCGGAACGGCAGTCTAGCGGTGGTGCCTCCTCCTCTTGCATTAGTGAAGAGGAGGATGCGGTGGATGAGGAGGAGGAGATGGAGGAGGAGACGGAGAAGGAACATGAGATGGAGGTAGAGGGCGGATGATGGTGATGATGATGTTGATGATGTTGACGATGATGATGCTGCTGATGATGCTGATGCTGATGTTGCTGGTGGTGATGCTGATGACGTTCATGAGGGGAATGAGGAGGCGGAGGTTGAGGATAGGGTTAAAACGAGAATGAGGGCGAGGATGAGGATTAAGATGAGAGTGAGGGTGAGGATGAGGATGATGAGAAGGAACATGATGATGATGAGGAGGAGGAGAAGGAGGAGGAGAAGGAGGAGGAGGAACATGAGGATGAGCATGCGGATGAGGATGATGGTGCTGCTGGTGATGCTGATTATGATGTTGATGCTGGTGATGCTGATGATGGTGCTAGTGATGATGATGATGATGATGATGCTGATGCTGATGCTGATGATGATGATGATGATGCCTATTCCGACGACTATGGCGATGATGATGATGATGATGATGATGATGATGATGATGATGATGGTGATGGTGATGGTGATGGTGATGGTGATGGTGATGATGATGATGATGCTGCTGATGATGATGATGATTTTGATGATGATGATGATGGTAATGATGATGCTGATGATGATGACAATGGCGAGCGTGACGACGATGACGATAATGATGATGTTGATGATGATGTTGATGGTAATAACAATGATGATGACGATGATAATGCTGATGGTGATGTTGATTATGTTGATGCTACTAATGGTGCTGTTGCTGATGCTGCTGATGCTGATTATGATGCTGATGCTGATGATGGTAATGATCATCATGGTGATGATGCTGCTGTTGTTGATGATGATGATGACGACGAGGAGGAATCAGCTGAGGACGATGATGATGATGATGATGATGATGATGATGCTGATGCTGATGCTGCTGCTGCTGATGAGGGTGATGCTACTGATGATGCTGATGATGATGACGATGACGACGAAGACAACGATGACGACGACGACAATGAGGAGAAGGAGGAGGAGGAGAAGGAGCTACAGAGGGAGGTAGAGGATGGAGGAGGTTCAGGAGGATGAGGACGGTAGAGTCGAGGGAGGAGGAGGAGAAGAGGAGGACGAGGAGGAGGAGGACCAGTGTAAAACCAAGAGTCATCAACGATGTTAGAATTAACCCTCCCTCCAAGCTCCGTCTTCAGAGGCCCCCGCAATGGTTCATTTCCATTTTGAGGGAACTGCCTCATAGGAAGACAACCGTTTGAAGATCCTGAAGCATGCCAAAACATTGTTCTCGGGATTTCAACGCCACGTATCATTCTGACTGCTGCGTCTTGACGATCCGGAATCGTGCCAGAGCGCCATTTTTGGGGGACTTCAGCACAGCGAATCAACATAATTGTTGCACCCGCATGTTCCTGAACCCTTCCAAAATACTATTTCTGGTACGCTGTGGTCATGGGAATCCGTGAAACCCTTGCAAAGTTTGAAAACAAATGTGCGCGGCGCTAAGGCGAGAGTCACGTTTTGAAAAAGGAACCGCTTTCATTCCGTGAAGCTCTTGCAATTCGTTAAAACGAATGTGCGCGACGCTAAGGCGAGAACGACATTTTGAAAACGACCCACCCTCAATCCGTGAAACTCTTGCAAAGTTCGAAAACGAATGTGCGCGCCGCTCAGGCGAGATCCACATTTTAAAAACCACCCGCCCTCAATCCGTGAAACGCTTGTAATGTTTGAAACGAATGCGCGCGGCGTTAAGGCGAGAACCCCATGTTGAAAATGATTCGCCCTCAACCCGTGTAAGGGGAATGTGCGCGGCGCTAAGGCGAGGGCCACATTTTGAAAACGGCCCGCCCTCCATCCGTGAAGCTCTTGCAAATACCTAAAGCGACAAACACTGCGCGGCGCTAAGGCGAGAGCCACATTTTGAAAACGACCCGCCCTCCATCTGTGAAATTGTTGTCACCTTTTTAAGCTTCAGGGTCATAAGTGGTGAGGAAGTCTCAGGCGACACGCCCAGCCCGCCCTAAACAATAGCCTCGGGGTGCGACAGGGACGAGTTATCTATGAGGAGAAGGAATGGAGGAGGAGGACGAGGAAAGAGGAGGAGGAGGAGGAGGAGGAGGAGGGGGAGGAGGTAACAGGAGGTAAGAGGAGGAGGAGGAGGAGGAGGCGGAGGAGGCGGACGAGTAGGAGAAGGAGGAGGAACACGTAGTGGTAGAGGGGAGGAGGAGGAGGAGGAGGAGGAGGAGGAGGAGGAGGAGGAGGAGGAGGAGGAGGAGGAGGAGGAGAGGAGGAGGAGGAGGAGGAGGAGGATAATACTAAGAATAAGAAGAGGCAGAAGAAGAGGAGGAGCAGGAGGAGCAGGAGGAGGAGGAGCAGGAGGAGCAGGAGGAGGAGGAGGAGAAGGAGGAGCAGGAGGAGCAGGAGCAGGAGCAGGAGCAGGAGGAGGAGGAGCAGGAAGAGCAGGAGGAGCAGGAAGAGCAGGAGGAGCAGGAGGAGCAGGAGCAGGAGCAGGAGCAGGAGCAGGAGCAGGAGGAGGAGGAGGAGGAGGAGGAGGAAGATGCGGAGAAGGAGGAGGAGGAGGAGGAGGAGCACGCGGAGGCGGAGGAGGCGGGGGATGCGGAGGAGCTGAGCTAGATGGAGTGCGGGGTACAGGGAGGAGTGGAGTGGAGTGGAGTGGAGCCCGTTGCGGATTCAAGTGGGGTAGAGGGAGGAGGACCAGGAGGAGAAGAAGGAGGAGGAGGAGGCCCGAGCCGCAGGACCACCCAGAGATCGCCCGGCTGCACGAGCTCAAGACCGAGCTCTTCATGGACCCGCCGCTCGGCGCGACACGGCCGCCTGGCCCCCCTCTGTTGTGGCTTCGGGCTGCGCGCAGACAGTGCCCCCAGGCAGCTCCAGCTGGCCTCCGCAAGCCGCTTCCCTGCGCTGCCTACTCGTTGCTCCTCCTCCCCTTCCTTCTTCCTTCCCGCTCCTCCTTTGTTGGCGGACGCGCGAGCGGCTGACGGGGGGGGCTACGTGGCTCAGGCTCTCTGGCCGCGCGCCTACCGCCTCCGCCTTCTGGTTCCCTCCTGCTCCCTCCTCTCTCATTAGGTCGGGCCTGTCCCCCTACAGGAGTATTTTCGACGAAAAAAAAAAATACACCCAACATAATAAAACAATAGTCCAAACATGGTCTGGGGACTATGTTTTGAGTATTGTTTGACCCTTTTGGGGCATTTTTTTTGGAAACAAGAAAAACATTTGTCGTTGAAAATACCCCTGCAGGGGGACACGCCCGACATAACTCTATCAGTCCTCTTCTCTTCGAGGTTCTTGTTGTTTGTCGCCCTGTCGCCACCACCTGGGTGGCATGCCGCGCGCCGCCTGGGAACTAAGAGAAAAGGCACCGGGATGGGTACATGCCCAGTAGAGTGAGCAGAGCCGCCGCGCAGAGCTGCTGATTCCACACGCGCATCGCAAAACACGGAGACCGTGTTTGTATCCCCTGGCGAGAAAGGGCGTTGCCGGGGGGGGGGCGGAGGGGGGTATTGGGACGATCGGAAAGGGTACAGAAAGGATGGGTCAAAAAACCGGCAGCAGTTCTTGTCCATTTTGAACCGGATTCGCTGTCGGCGTCGCCGTAGACTGTGTCCGCTTGAGACAGAAGGCCGTCTGCCCAACAGCGGCTGTTGTTTGTTTGTGACAGCATCTGTTGTTGGGCACTGTACCCATGTTTTTCGTACCTATTCCGGGCGTCCAAAGGGTAGGTGGCCGGTCTCATCGCGATTCGCGCCAGCGCCGCCTGGGCGCACTTAAGGATGGCTCATTCCGAAACGACGACGGCGCGAATCGTGACGAGACTCAGGAGAGGTGAGGTGGATAGCGTCCAGTGGTAGGTCACGGGCGTCATCGCGCATGAGCAAATTGGCTCAAGAAGCAGCAGGGACGGGAGTGAGAGCACGGCCATGTGCACCTTGGTGTAGTTATTACCACGGATCGTGGCCGATGCCGGCTGGCATTGAGGGGAGCACGATTTTTGAATAGATTGTGAAGCAGTTCGGAACCTCCGCTAAACCGTACCGCCGATGGGGCGCCGCCTAAATGGGCGGTCTCGGGCTTCCCGCCCCCCCCGTGGGCTAGCAGAAGTTTCACTGGAGCGCGATGAGGGAAAACGGTTTTCTGGATGAGTACGTGGTCCAGAAGGGAGCCCCCGGGTTCAGGACCCGTTTCCTTCGGGATCCGTTTGGTTCATGCAAACCCCATTGTTCGGTTGAGCGTAGAGTGATCTTTTGTCGGAGTGACCTTCTTTGTGCGGGCTCACGGGGTCGAGGAAACGCAGACATGGATTCAGCGCGACGGGCCCGGATTCCATTACAGGGTCGACGCGCTCCGTTGCCAAATCACTTGATGAATTTGGCTTCATGCCTCGCCCGGATCCTTGGATTTGGCGCCCACGCGCCAGATCCACAGATCCACGTGCCAGTCACTTGGCATCGCTCGGACGTGTGCATTTTTCCTTCGGCGAGGGCCATAGAGGAGCATCCTTGATCATTTGGCGAAAAAACCACGCACGAAACCGAAAAAAACAGGGAATGGACGTCCGAGCGATGCCACGGACGGGGGCCACCCCAGCCTTTGCTGCCCCCAACCCTCCCGCAGTCCCTCACAACGGCGCGCCAAACGCCGCTGTTGCCCAGGAGCCCCTCTTCCGTGGACCACCGGACCGAGGTATAAGAACGAGGTCTGTTCGAGGAAGGTTCCCTAATGTTTTTTCGTGGTTCTTAGATGTGCAATCTGGGGGACGGTGATCCGGACTGATATTCAGTTCGGCCAGCGGAAGGTTTCATGTTCTTGATGGATGCTATTACGTCTTAGGTCCGATTGTAGCCGATTTGTTCGGTAACAATTCATGGGAGCCTCGTGTGTGTGTGTTGGTGTGTTCGAAATTCTGTCTGTAGAGATGGCCACGCTCCCGCATAGCAGATACACTAGTGTCTTGGCCGTCGAAGAAGGAACTTTTTTCGTTGGGAGGGTCTCAGTGCTCCTTAATTGTTGTACAACTTGTCTCAGGTTGTCCTTCGGTGTTCCATGGGAAGTCGGCGTTTCACATATGGAAGAGAAGGGGGCCGCTCCTTTGTTTTCGAGTTCCTTATGGCAGTGGTTCGAGTGTAGGGATGGCCACGATCCCCTGCAACAGGCGCACTGCTGTGCCCACGGCCATGCGCTCAACCCCTGCCCTGGCACATTTCCCGTGCGCCTCCCGGAGACACACGCAGGAAGGCACGCTCGTGGTCGTCGTGGTCGTGGGCGCACGGCCGGGCGGGCGGCACCACCGTCGTCGTCATCGTTGTCGTCGTCTTCACCCTCGCCGATCTCAGGGTGCTGTTTGTTGGGGCAGGCCACGGAGCCCGCAGAGGACGCACGCGCCCAGTCATGTGCACAGGGGATGCGGCCCCCCCTGTCCGCGAGGCCAGGCAT